CCCTGCTACTCTAGAGGACTCACCTCACCTGGCCTTAATAATGTCCTCAACATTCATGTATTTCTAGGCCTTTGCTAGTAGTTCTGACATGCTCTTTGGTGGGCGTTTCATCACTGAGAAAAGGAAGCTTAACGAGCGGAGGCCTCCCAAGAAAGTAGTCATCTTCACTTTGTCGTCAGGCTCATTAACTTGGAGTACCTCCTCGTTAAAACGAGTGAGGTAGCTCCTCAAGCTCTCCTCCCTGTCCTGTTTTATGTTAAGTAGATGGGTGACAGGCTTCTGGTGGTGACGTCCCCCAATGAAATGTGATATGAATGACCTGCTCAGCTTAGCAGAGGAAGCGATGGAGGCTAGGGGGAGCTTAGCGAACCATTGTCGTGCGGACCCCTTCAATGTGGTTAGGAACGCCCTGCACATGATTTTATCTGAGACGTTGTGTAGCTGCATCAGAGTCTTATAGGTGTCGAGGTGGTCTAGTGGATTTTTTGTTCCGTTAAAGTTTTTTACGGATGGCATTTTGAACTTCTGAGGGAGCGGGTAGTTCGCCACGTCAGGTTTTAAGGCGTGTCTGTACGCCTTACCAAGTAGTCCACTGTCTCAGGTCCCTGTGCCTTCATGGCGTTGCAGACATCACCTAGTTGATTTTGTACTTCCTTGATTTTCTAGTCCCAATGATTTGGGACTCCCCTAGAATGATCATGAAAATAACTCTCATGCTCCATGCTTTGGTTCTCACCCTTATCCTCCTAGAGATGAGGGTCCTCACCATGAGAAGTAGGAGGAGGTAGAACTCCTTCATGAGGAGCTCCCCTATGTGGGGTGCCTAAGGGGACTCCAAAGGGGGCACCCAACCCTGTAGGGGCGCCTGGGTGTGGAGTAGTAGGATGTGGAGCTCCTTGGCATCCTTCATGTTGTGCACCTCCAAGTTGTGTTCCTCCTTGTCCAGCGAGCATGAGTTACATTATCTGCTGGTTTTGGGCCACCAGCTGTTGCATGGTCTCCAGCATTTACTGTGGATTTGGAGCTGAAGCATTTGGGACAGGGTTGGTAGGTGGATTGTCTTCGTGTTGGTTCATGGATCTGATAGTGATCGCCATTAGTTCAACAAATTGAATGTTTAATAGTGAGAATCTTGTCGAGTTTCCACAGACGGCGACAAACTGATGATCCACAAAATGGTTTTGCACATCATTTGTCAAGTGTGAATAATAAATGCAAAAAAATAATATCTAGAGATAGAGAGACACAGACAATTTATAGTGGTTCGGTCAACTTGACCTACGTCCACTTTTCAATAGCTCTGGTTACCGGGTATTTTATTAACTCAATGGTGTGGGGAGCAGAGAATACAAGCTTTGAGGAAGATTAGAGAGTCATGCTCAGGTGATGTGTGATGCCCCCCAAGTGTTGGTAGGACGTGCAATTTATAGTGGTCCCCTAACAGGTTGGGGCTATTTTACAGCAACTAAGCAACCATTTCGGTAGAGCTCACGACTTCTTCTCAACGGGTAAGGTAGTTGAGATGCTCTCCATGAGATACGGTCAAGGATAAGGTAAGGGTGGACTGTTTTCTTGGCAGTGCAGGTAAGGCTCTTGTGTTCTCTCTATAGATGACGTAGCCGAACTGATGAGACTGGACTTGGACAATATTGGACTTAGTGGGTATTTATAAGACTGGGCTCTTCAATTGGGATTTGGATTTTTCAAATAAATTGGGTTCTTCATGGACTTGACCCATCATCTTTTATTATTATTGTGGGTATTTTTACCACTGTTGTGGTACCTAAAAAAGTGAAAAAATAGCTACCATAAAAATGGTAAAAACACCTACAATAGTAATAAAAAGATTTGCAAAAGTAATAAATCACTCATAAGAGTGATAAATTTTTTTGTACCAAAGAAAAGTGGTGAAAATACTTAGCACAATAATAGTAAAAATATCCCACAAAAACTATGAAAATACCATTTGAAGTAATAAATTTTGGAGGTATAGTACCAATATTTGTTTTAGTCGTTACTATACTCAAAGTCCTTAATTAATAGTCGTATGTTAGTAGATCCTACACTCGTGTCTGCAATTACAAAGGAGTTAGATAGAGAAAAAGTGTGTGTGTGAGAGAGAGAGAGAGAGAGGGAGAGAGAGTGATGAGAGTTAGAACAGATAAATTAAAGCAGTTATATCATAGAGAAATACTATGATAAGGACGCGGACAGTTAGGGTGGAAATAGATAAGGATAGTATGAATATTTTCCATGTATGTAAAAGGAAAATAAGAATAGATGTATGTATTTTTCACACTCAATTTGTTTTGCAAAAAAATCCTTTTGTATAGGTTTTAGTGTATCTTCAAAAAAAAAAAAAAAAAGAATATAGGTTTTAGTGTATTTTAAATTTAACCCCCACAGAACACTCTCACATATTTGAATTTCTTTACCTTCTGTTAAGTGAATAACATTTAATTAGTTGTATCCCTCAAAACGTGTTCAAAAAATCATTCTGATAATCTTTGCTCTCCCTTTCTATAATTTGTTTCCTCTCCCTCACCATAGTCAATTTATTTTCATACTATAAAAATTAGTCAGTAACATTATAAATATAAGATTTTTTCTATTATGGCTTAGATGTCGATAATTAAGTCATGAAAATACCCTGTCACATACACACGTACATTGTGTACATCTAACCATTTCCACAAATCTTGCGGTAGGAACCCGCACACAAGGTCACATTTTTTTATTCATTATTAGTTCAAAAATTTTAATCTTACTATCGTTAAAAGTAAAATATTATAGAGATATAATTTGGAAACGTTAGTTGATAGTCTAATGTATTGCCATGATGATATTACCAATGAGTCTCAATATTGAATACAATCTATTTTGCTAAACCAACACGGTGATGCATTAGGTCTTTAATTAGGTCTTCAACTTAAGTAAATATTGTATTATTATTAAAAATTTTGTCCCCGCTAAGTTAAATTTCTGGCTTCGCCCCGATGACTGGGTGTTCAATGATGCCAACAAACACCACCACTGGAAATGGCCCAGAAGGAATGATTCGTCCCTGAAAAAAACATTCTAAGTTTGCAGTCATGCTAGCCATAGTCATGAAACCTTAAGCTACCGTTTGATATTATTTTATAGAAATATTTTTTTTTCTAGTTTTATGAAATAGCATAATTTTGGTTTTTTATTTTTTTTTCTTACCTAGATTTTCTTAATTCCTCTATCAAAGTATAGGAAAATATACAAAATTGCATACACATCAATTTGATAAACTAGTATCATTCCCCTTGCTTAATTTGTTTGACAATTTTTTTCCCCAAAGGTAAAATGACGACTTTTTTTTTTTTTGCTTGAAAAAAAGTTACTAAAAGAATACACAAGTCCATGCCAACATTGAACGCTGGTCACTGGGCAACCATATATTTTGACCCATGTTAAACACTGGTCTATCTGTTGAAGATAACATCATATGATATTTTACCATGAACTGATTATATCTATTGAGCACATATAAGTTCGATTAAGGTTCATTTTTTCTAAACGTCAAAAACAAGCATGACATCATTGCGAACGTAACGCCCAAACTATGGAACAGTAGAGAAATGCAAACTCAACTTACAGGAGATATGATAAATTGATAATTTCTTTATCTCTAACATTCTTGACAATACATTCATTCCGTTGTTTTAATACTGAATATGGCTAGTAACTTGACGTGAGGACATGACGTCAGAGTTCGCTTCTGTCCCACAGGTGGTTCAGGGTTCAACCTCATTGGTTCCCCTGTGCGAGGAACCAAGCACTTAACCAAAGCAGGCCGGGCAAGAGTATGACATCAAAGCCGAAAACAGTAACCAAACTGGACTATTTTCAGTTGGCAATTTGTTCGGTGGAAAACAAAAACCTTGACACTGCGGAAAAAGGGCCAGTCAAATNTTTTTTTTTTTTTGCTTGAAAAAAAGTTACTAAAAGAATACACAAGTCCATGCCAACATTGAACGCTGGTCACTGGGCAACCATATATTTTGACCCATGTTAAACACTGGTCTATCTGTTGAAGATAACATCATATGATATTTTACCATGAACTGATTATATCTATTGAGCACATATAAGTTCGATTAAGGTTCATTTTTTCTAAACGTCAAAAACAAGCATGACATCATTGCGAACGTAACGCCCAAACTATGGAACAGTAGAGAAATGCAAACTCAACTTAAAGGAGACATGATAAATTGATAATTTCTTTATCTCTAACATTCTTGACAATACATTCATTCCGTTGTTTAAATACTGAATATGGCTAGTAACTTGACGTAAGGACATGACGTCAGAGTTCGCTTCTGTCCCACAGGTGGTTCAGGGTTCAACCTCATTGGTTCCCCTGTGCGAGGAACCAAGCACTTAACCAAAGCAGGCCGGGCAAGAGTATGACATCAAAGCCGAAAACAGTAACCAAACTGGACTATTTTCAGTTGGCAATTTGTTCGGTGGAAAACAAAAACCTTGACACTGCGGAAAAAGGGCCAGTCAAATTCACGAGCACTAGATCATTCAGAATTTTCCTAGAAGTTTAATCTTAACGCACTCAAACTAATTTATTATTTCCAATAGACACTCCTACCTCTGCATCAACACAACCTCATTCCACAGAGTTCAACCTAAAGAGCACGAAAGCTGACCACGTTAATTTTACAAATAGGCTTTGAACACCCCCCACAAATCCAACCCAACACAAAACCACGAAAAGGGTAAAAACTGTCTACATTACTTAAAACAGCAAAAAAACTACAGTAGTTGAGATTGAAGTTCTACAATAAGCCAAGACAGAATAAGATATTCTTACATAGGCTACAACTTGCTGACTATGTTTATGAGGAGATGATAAACTTACTTGAGTCCTAGTCACCAAAAGAGAAACAAAAAAAGTGTCAAAGGATCAATCACCAAATATGTGTGTGGCACCATTCAGCACAAGAGGAGGTTCTTTTACCTCAGTCCAATTGGTAAACTGCTACAAAAGGCATCAGGACGCTACCCATCCACAGCTTCCCATCTTTTTCTTCCACTTCGCTAACTGCTTTTACGACTATCCCTTGACTGTCTTCCAATATCTGTAAAAGCTTACCCTCTGGGCTATACTTTACAACTACTGCATGGGGCCGCCCCCCAATATGGATCAGGTAATGAATCTTGGCTGGAATTGGGAGCTTCAGCAAGAATTTCCGAATTTTGGGGTACAAAGAGCTCAGATAAGCATACATGGTCCGACGACAGTGGATAGCTACCCAAAATTCACCTTTTTCATTTGTTCTGACATTGTCAGGAAATCCGGGCAGGATGGCCATTACTTCCGAACTCCCTGCTTTCTCACCTTTCAACCAGTACTTTCGCAATCTGCATCATGAGAAAAGGAGTGAATTTTTAGAGATTAAGGATTGGATGAATACCAAATGTAGTTTCCTCGTGCTTATAAAAAGATTTCTGACAGTCTAGTCTCACATGTCATCCAGTGAATTTCCTTCACAATTTTCATAATTTTCAACATCTGATACACATCTTACTTCAAATGAATACAATGGTCTTATATGCAGTGCCTAGGGGTGTAACTTAGGCGGGCTAACCCGATTTCAACCCAAAAAAATTAAGGCTTGGGTTAGGGATTTTAATATTTGGGTTGGACGTGGATCAAAATACCCCAACCCGATTTCAATTTGGACAAGTCTCGAGTTAACCAATTGGGTTACCAGGTTGAACCTGAATATTAAAATCGGGTTCAACCCGAATATTCATAACCATATATATACATTTTTAAGTTTAGGGTTAATCTGTTTTGAAGTCTTCATTGTGCACCTCCCTCACTCACTATTTAAGCAGTGAACTTTATGATTGGACAAGGATTCTGATTGTGTTTATTTGTGTTCTATATGGTTGTGGTTGCATTATCTCAAACATTGAATTCTTAATATTATGATTTTTATATTAAAAACCTGATTGAAGTTGTTGGTTGTTAATTTAGGTAAATATTATGTAATATATGTATTAGATTTAGAACAACAAGTCTATTTTGGGCTAAACCTGAATTCAACTCGTAAAGTAGGCCGAAATCATAACCCGAATTCAACTCGAGCCCACTCGAATTAAACTCGGTCAGTGCTCGGATTGAGTCCCTTAACCTGAAATAGGGTTAGTGTTAGGGTTAGGGTTGAAGATTATATACCTAAGGTTGGATTAGGGTTGACTATCCAACACCCAACCCACCCGAGTTGCACCCCTAGCGCCAGTGCCCAAATTGAAACAAAAGAAAGATATACACATTAAATACCAACCCCCGCCCTTTTCTTTTAATTTTAATGATAAATCATACTGCTTGCAGCCCAGTCTTCATATAACTTGTAGAAAAGGATGTGTCAAAATGCCATAGGGAAATAATTGTAATTGCTAAGGAAACGTGCACTGTGAGAAGATCCTGAAACATCACCTCGGGAGAAAATATATATATATATATATATAAGAAGAGATAAATACATAAGAACTGTACCCTAATTCTCACAAAAGTGGTCAAATTAAAGTTTGTAGCAAGCTAATCCCACTTTCTCTGACAAAGCATTACCAAACCATGCAGCCCCTCTGAAACCTTCAATTTGCTTTCAAATCATTCTTAAATTTGCACTAAATAACCAAAACAAAGCAACAACCACAATGTAGGGGAGCATAATACAAAGAGCACATGTTATGTGGGTCTTACTAATATATATGTGTTGGGACTTATTTGGTGGAACCCATATGTGAACCACAATTGACAAGATATTGACTTAGGTTATGGGATAAGGATATCCTAATTAAAAGACCTACCTTATTTGGTTTGGTTAGTGAGCATTTTCCTTGTGAAAGTAGTATCCTAGGTATAAGCAAACAATTTAATTAATAATTTGTTTCATTGACAATTTCTTTGATGGGAGGGAACAGTAACTGATTATTTTAAACTAAGGCAATTGGTTAAGAGTGAGGGAGATATAAGTTGTCTAAGAGACCCCCCAATCTCTTATTCACGCTTACAGACATCTCTCACTCTTTGGAAAAACTATTTGCAACNAAACTTCCAAAGTCGATTGTATTGATCCAACCAACCAATGGCTGCACCATCAATTCTCCTCTGCCGAAAAGAACTCGACTCCGGCGAATAAGGAGGAGGGCCAAGAATATCATCTGCTGGAGAAGCTCTTTGAATCAATAACAAACTCTTTTTCAATTGTAGTGTATGCACATCAGAAGCACAAGTAAAAGTATACTTCTTTCTTCCAATTGCAAAAGAATAAGTATTAGCACGCCCCGCATGTCGTGCATTATGATCCCATTTCCAGGTGTGCCCTAACAGTATGTTACAAAGCTTGAGAGGCAGCACATCACACATGACGGTCTCCTTAAAACTTCCAATGGTGAATGCAACCTAACTCTGATACCAAATTGATGTAAGACGGAAGAAGAAGAAATAAGATAATAGAAAGAAATAGAAGAAATACCAAACTCTTGCAAGGATTAGGCCAAGAAACACACAAAATTCTCCACCGAGAAATAAGTTTTATTATATCACTCTCTCTAATAAAAATTGTTGGAATTGCACCATTATTGATAGGCCAAGTTCCCTACCAAAACAAAAACTATTCTCCCACTAAAGTTCTAAAAGTGTTTCATAATCGAACTTTTAAACTCTTATACTACTAAAACTCTATAATAATTTCCTAATCAAATTCTAACTACTCCTAGTCAGACAAATACTCATAAATCAAATAATAATAATAAAACTAACAATTACACTTCCATTTGGACCACAAATTCCTAGTCTTTCGCCTAAGCTTTCAAAGTTGATTGTATTGATCCAACCAATCAATGGTTGTATGAGGGAAAGATTCCATTCATTGTTTTCCATCTATGTCTCTATCTTCAATCCTTCACGTTCTAAATTTTTTTGCTAACTTACTATCGGTAAGTAGCATTACACAGTCTCTAAATTCTTTGTAACATTCTTTCTTTCTCGTTGTGTCTTTCAGAAACTGGGAACGGGGTGAACAATTAGCAATGGTAGGTCTCATGGTGGTTTATATCTGCCGGAGGATCAATTTTCTGAACCACTTCCAGCTTCTAGTGCTATGGCCCTCCAACAGTTACATCAATGGCATCAAAGACTTGATCATCCATCAGTAGGAGTATTAGAGAAAGTTTTTCTAATTTTGATGAAATAATGTAATAAAGATAATTTTCTTTGTGATGCTTGTGAATTTGCCAAAGCATACAAGAACTTATCCTAGCAATAATAATAGAAGCTCTGCTCCATTTATAATTGTTTATTATGATGTTTGGAGACCATCTCGTGTTGTTTCTCTTGCTAGTTATTGATGGTTTGTTATTTTTATTGATTGCTATACTCGGGTTACTTGAGTTTATTTATTGCTAAATAAGAAAGAAGTATTTACTTATTTCAAAATTTTTTATAAATTGGTTAATACTCAGTTTGATGCCAAGATTAAAGTTCTTAGGACTGATAATGGGATTGAATACTTTTGGGCGAATGTTGGGCTTACCTTACAGAACATGGAATTCTTCACCACTCTAGTTGTGTTGATACACTTGAGCAAAATAGTGTAACTGAGAGGAAGAATCGATATCTACTTGAAGGGGCTCACTCTTTGATGTTCACTATGGGTATCCCTTCATTTTTTTTGGGAGATGCTGTCCTCACTACCGCATATCTCATTAATCGTATGCCTTCGAGGGTCCTTTATTTTGCTACTCCTATAGGGTTGCTTTAAGGGTCAATGTCATTTTACTCTATTCCTCCAAAAGTGTTTGGTTGTGAGTGTTTTGTGCAAGATTACCGAAACACTAGAGGAAAGTTGGATCCAAAGGCATTGCGTTATGTCTTTGTTGGTTACTTTGCTACCCAAAAAGGGTATAAGTGTTATCATCCTCAGTCTAGGAAGGTGCATGTTAGTATAGATGTCACATTCCATGAGTCAGAGTCCTATTTCTCCTCTTCTCTGTCATCCCTTCAGGGGAGCAATGGATTGAAGACGAAGAGATGCACAAGGATGGATACATGCACTTACCCCTTAATTAGGGCTTGAGACATAGGGAGGCTCAGGGAGAAACAACTAATCTGGGCTTGAGTCAAGGGGAGCCTCAGGGAGAAACATCTATTCAGGGGGAGCAAATTATGTATGGAAGATTGGATGAGGATTTGCGATGCTATACTCAACGACAAGTTAAGCAAACCACCACTCATCAGCCACCAAATCAACTATTGTCTCCGGGCTCAGTCTCTAAGATTTCTCCCCCGATATCAAGTAATGAGTCTCATTGTAACAATCCTGTTGATGATATCTCTTTATCTATTGCTACTAGAAAAAGAGTTTGGACTTGTACCCAACATCCTATTTCTAAATTTGTCTCTTACAACTCTTTATCTTCCTCCTATTGTGCTTTTGTTTCGTCTTTGTCTTGTATATCTCTTCCCTAAAATTGGCACGAAACCCTCATAGAACCCAAGTGGAAAGCAACCATGGTAGAAGACATGAGAGCCTTGGTAAAGAACGAAACTTGGGATCATGTATCTCATCCAACAGGAAAAAAATCAGAAGGTTGTAGGTGGGTATTCACTGTCAAGCAGAATGCAGATGGTACAGTGGATAGATACAAAATAAGGCTAGTAGCTAAGGGGTTCACACAGATGTATGACATTGACTATTACAAGACATTTACTCCGGTAGCGAAGATAAATTCCATTAATATCATCTTTTTTTGTGCTGCCAATCTAGGATGGGATTTACAATAACTTGACATTAAGAATGCATTTTCCAAGGAGACTTAGAGGAGGAAGTGTACATGAATATCCCCCAAATTTTTCTTCGCCAACTATAGAGGAAAAAATATGTAAGCTAAAGAAGTCTCTTTATGGACTAAAACAGTCTCTAAGNCACTATGGGTATCCCTTCATTTTTTTTGGGAGATGCTGTCCTCACTACCGCATATCTCATTAATCGTATGCCTTCGAGGGTCCTTTATTTTGCTACTCCTATAGGGTTGCTTTAAGGGTCAATGTCATTTTACTCTATTCCTCCAAAAGTGTTTGGTTGTGAGTGTTTTGTGCAAGATTACCGAAACACTAGAGGAAAGTTGGATCCAAAGGCATTGCGTTATGTCTTTGTTGGTTACTTTGCTACCCAAAAAGGGTATAAGTGTTATCATCCTCAGTCTAGGAAGGTGCATGTTAGTATAGATGTCACATTCCATGAGTCAGAGTCCTATTTCTCCTCTTCTCTGTCATCCCTTCAGGGGAGCAATGGATTGAAGACGAAGAGATGCACAAGGATGGATACATGCACTTACCCCTTAATTAGGGCTTGAGACATAGGGAGGCTCAGGGAGAAACAACTAATCTGGGCTTGAGTCAAGGGGAGCCTCAGGGAGAAACATTTATTAAGGGGGAGCAAATTATGTATGGAAGATTGGATGAGGATTTGCGATGCTATACTCAACGACAAGTTAAGCAAACCACCACTCATCAGCCACCAAATCAACTATTGTCTCCGGGCTCAGTCTCTAAGATTTCTCCCCCGATATCAAGTAATGAGTCTCATTGTAACAATCCTGTTGATGATATCTCTTTATCTATTGCTACTAGAAAAAGAGTTTGGACTTGTACCCAACATCCTATTTCTAAATTTGTCTCTTACAACTCTTTATCTTCCTCCTATTGTGCTTTTGTTTCGTCTTTGTCTTGTATATCTCTTCCCTAAAATTGGCACGAAACCCTCATAGAACCCAAGTGGAAAGCAACCATGGTAGAAGACATGAGAGCCTTGGTAAAGAACGAAACTTGGGATCATGTATCTCATCCAACAGGAAAAAAATCAGAAGGTTGTAGGTGGGTATTCACTGTCAAGCAGAATGCAGATGGTACAGTGGATAGATACAAAATAAGGCTAGTAGCTAAGGGGTTCACACAGATGTATGACATTGACTATTACAAGACATTTACTCCGGTAGCGAAGATAAATTCCATTAATATCATCTTTTTTTGTGCTGCCAATCTAGGATGGGATTTACAATAACTTGACATTAAGAATGCATTTTCCAAGGAGACTTAGAGGAGGAAGTGTACATGAATATCCCCCAAATTTTTCTTCGCCAACTATAGAGGAAAAAATATGTAAGCTAAAGAAGTCTCTTTATGGACTAAAACAGTCTCTAAGAGCATGGTTTGATAGATTTCATAAGGCAATGGCCATGTTTGGATACAGGCAAAGTCATGGATATCACACAATATTCATCAAACAAGGGAGTAGTAAGATCTCGTTTCTTATAGTATATGTTGATGTCATAATATTTACAGGTTATGACGTGGAGGAAGTGTCCAAACTAGAAGTTCATCTTGTAAAAGAATTTGAAATCAAGAATTTGGGGCGGTTATGCTAGTTCCTTGGGAATGAAGTGGCCAGGTGTTACCCCCTTAGCCATTGGCAGCATTTGACATCGGGTAACCTCGCCCATAGGCACCCATGCCTTAGCTAAAATGGCAGAAGTCCCATGCATGACTGAGGTAAACAGTCTATGCACATGGGCACGTGGGCATAAGTCAGCATGCAAGCAAGGAAACGGGCGGCTTGAATTGTGGGGCAATGCTAGCTTAAATAATGAGCCATGGGCTAGGCCATAGTTAGGCACGAATGTAATGCAATTCGGATGCTGAGGGCTCCTGACACATGCACAACATGTGAGGAAGTTAGGCATATGCTCTGCAGATGGTGGTAGTTCTGGACAGTTTTCTGGCAAGTGCATTGCATGTAGGATCTCTGTCAAATTCAGACAAACATACAGACACCAGTTATAACTTCCCTGTCATCCAATCACAGCAAACCTCTAGTAGCATTTGAATTACAAACATGTGCCTAGGCAATTAGGCTTGTAACTGCCACCCTGAATATTATAAATAGGGTGCTTGGGGTCTGTAATGCAACAAGAGAGTTGACACGTTTTCGTAAATAGACCCCAAGGTTGAGTTCCTTATACTTTATTGAGAAAGAAAGGTTTGGTTGTTGCCTGTAAATTCTGTGTGCCTTGCCTATGTGTTTACTTACTGTCTATTCTCTGTTCTATATGCATTTTGTGTGCATTCTAAGTGTCTGGCTGAGACTAAGTGTTGGATCTTAGTGCTATCACGCAACAGAAATTAAGTGAGAAATTTAACCCCGTGACACCAAGTCAGATGCATTTTCATCTCACACAGGAAATACATTCTTAACCTCTTAAAGGAAACGGGCATGCTAGGTTATAGTCCTGCTGACTCTCCTATTGAGGCAAATCACAAACTAAGAAGTGATGAAGGAAGCTATCAAAGGCTTGTTAGGAGACTTATATATCTCTCTCATACTCGCCCAGATATAGTATATGCAGTGGGTGTTGTTAGCCAAATCATGCATGCTCCTCAGGTTCCTTATCAAAAGGTAATTCATCGTATACGGAGGTATCTCAAAATCATCTCTGAGTAAAGGAATACTATTCTCAACGCAAAATCATTTGAGAATAGAGGCTTTCATAGATACAGACTAGGCAAGCTCAATCAAGGATAGGAGGTCCATTACAGATTATTGTACTTTTGTAGGAAGAAATCTAGTAACTTGACGGAGCAAGAAATAAGCAGTGGTGGCTAGATCTACTGCTGAGGCCAAATATAGGGCCATGACTCATGGTGTTTGCGAGCTTATGCGGTTGAAAACCTTAATGGAAGAGTTAAGGGTCTTTAATTGTGAACCTATACAGCTATATTGCGACAATAAGGCTGTCATTAATATTGCTCACAACCTAGTTCATCACAGAACAAAACATATTGAAATTGATCGACACTTTATTAAGGAGAAGCTCAATGATGGGTTGATTTGTATGCCGTTTGTGATGTTTAAAGAACAACTTGCTGATGTGTTTACCAAGAGACTAAATACTAGAATCTTTCATTCCAATGTATGCAATTTGGGCATGAAAAATATTTATACTACAACTTGAGGGAGAATGTAGGATATGTATGGGTAATGAGTGGAGAGACTGATTACTCTCTTATTCTCCTTAACACTATTTTCGTAGTTTTTCTCTTTTCTATTTTCTCTTGTCTCTCTATTCTAAACTCTAAATCTTAATTTCAACTGAATCTGGTTCGTAAAATTTATTTTTATTCGTTTGATCAAATCTACGAGGAGATATATTATGAAAGAATATTTTGTTCTTTCTTTTACTGTCGTTCATGCATGTTGTCATTAATTATTGTAGTTAGTAAACTTAATGCATTGGTACACTTAATTGTTCATGCTGGTTGCTGTCGGTCTGTGCATTGATTTCAAATATGTATGGTCTCTACACTTTAATTTCAAACACATCAGTGGAGGTATTATTATATTGTTAGATAATAATGCATGGGTATTATTATATTGCAAGAAACTTTGTGTTGCAGATAATGAATACATTATACATGTCCTAAATTGAATGAATGCAAACAGTATTACATAAAATAGCTACTGTGCATGTTGTATATGTGGGACATCTCTAAGGTTATTTTATAGTATACTTGTCCTATTTGATGAAATTGTTTGCAACCAATTTGTGATATTTTGGCCATAAAGTTTATCAGAGTCCAATTTTTTGCCATAATTAACTGTTTAGTTACTGGATTTATATAGGTAAAATTTATTTGTTTATATGTCATGATTTGGAATATTCAAAACATAATGATGAGCTAAAGCATCTTATATATAGAAACTTATATTTGATAAAGAGTAAATTACAAATATAACCCTCAAACTATGACTCTTGTGTCAATTAAGTTCCTGAACTTTTTTTGTGTTAATTGAGCCCACAAACTCTCCAATTGTATCAATTGAGCCCTTATGTCTACCTCCGTTAGATTTTTCAATAGAAAGTGATAAAGTGTGTCACTCATGTGACACAAATGGGTTGGAGTAAACTACACATACGACCCTCAAACTATGCCTCTTGGGTCAGTCAATTAAGTCTCTAAACTTTTTTTTTATGTCAATTGAGTCATTGAATTCTTTAATTGTGTCAATTAAGCCCTTTTGTTTT